ATATATATTATATATGTATATATATTTGGAAAAAAAAGGAAATTATAGGAATATTGTAAAGATTTTGTCTTTTTACACATGTAGAAATTTGTAAATACTTTGTGCTCTATTTATCATTTTCCTCCTCTTAGGATGGAATTCTTTTTAAAGGGCTCTAGAATTCTCTCTCCACCCACCCCCACCCCCATAATTTCACTTTGGTGTTTGGCTGTGTGCTTCTGTTGTTGTGAAAAAAAAGGAAATTATAGGAATATTGTAAAGATTTTGTCTTTTTACACATGTAGAAATTTGTAAATACTTTGTGCTCTATTTATCATTTTCCTCCTCTTAGGATGGAATTCTTTTTAAAGGGCTCTAGAATTCTCTCTCCACCCACCCCCACCCCCATAATTTCACTTTGGTGTTTGGCTGTGTGCTTCTGTTGTTGTGCCTCATAAAGAGGACACACCTCTGTTTGTTTTTTCTTGCTTTGCTTCTGTATACTGTAAAAGGCCAGGACGTGAATTTCTCCGAAGGACAGCCTCCTCGTTTGTGTCGCTCTCTTTGCTTGGTTCTTCTCCTGTGGTTTTTTTAAAAAAAACAAAACTTGGCTCAGTGGCCGTGTGGGTCCTTTTTGTCTGTTTTTGCCATGCCTGTGTCCAGGGAAGCCGCTCTCCTCCTGTTCTTTCCCCTCCTCAGCAGAGGGTTGTTGCTGTTCCTTCATGCCCCCACCCCAGAAGGAAAAGAGGCCAAGGGTCTCCACCCACCCCTCCAGAGGTGCACGCCTGGACTGCCACGGGTAGGTGGCACGATGGTGGGCCTCTGGCTTGGCTGAGCGCAGGGGCGACCCAGGACTCCTGGCCGCCAACCTGAGCAGGTGACCAGAAGCTGCCCCTGCACCAGAGGGGGGGGGGGCAAGTGTTCCGTGTTTCAGGTGGAACATGAGCGCCCCGTGGAAATGGGGGCCTTGTTTAAAATGTGCCCAGTTGCTCCAAGATCTCCTCTGCAGGTGGGCAACCTTTGAGATGGGCTGCCGTTGTGCTCGGGGCCGGCGGGTGGAGTGGAGAGGCTGAAAGGAAGAGCTGGCCACCAGCCTCTGGGAAGCGGGGAAAGCCACAGCTCCTTGCCTAAAGGGGAGGAGGGTTCCTGCTGCCGCCACCACCACCGCCCCCCCTCCCAGGCTCCATGGGCAGGCAAGGGCTGCCTGGCACAAACTAACCTCTGCCCCTCCCTAGGAGTCGCTCTGCTCCCCCTGCCACGTGCTGGAAGAGGAGGGCCTGCCCCGCGTGGCGGCCACGGTCCGGACTCTCCTGGAAGGAGGCGGCAAGGCCCCCGGGAGGTCCGGGAAGAGCGGGGCGGCCTAGGCCCCCGAGCCCCGGTCCCACATCTCTTCGGACTTCATCACTGCCACCTCGAGGCGTGGATTCGGTTGCCTGGGGAGCTTGGGTGCATGGGAGAGACCGGGAGCGCCTCGCCCGCTGCAGAGCTGTGCAAAACAGGCCGCTCTGCATGGAGGGCGTCTTTGAACGACGGGGTCAAGGCGGTTCACCTCTCTCCAGCCAGGCTCCACTTTTGCTTCAGATCAGTGGGTGTGTGTGTGTGTGAGGTGTCATCCTTGCCTGCGCTCTGGCCCCCAAGAGGGTCATAGGGGCCACGCAAGGGTCCCTCGTGAGTAAGAGGCCGGGAGAGGAGGTGCCCTGTCGGATCCCCCCAAGGGGGAACCTCCACCGATGGCTGGCTGGGGTGGAAGGGGGAGCCCTCGGGCCATGGAGCCCCTCCCCCGAGACCCAGACCTTTGAACCGGACGAAGCTGGTGTGGATGGGTGGCGGTGAGAGGCGGGTTCAAGAGGCATGGCTGGTTTCAGTCCCAAGCCATGTTCCCTCCCAGTTGGCAGCAGCTCCCTCGAAGCACAAACCACTTTCTTCCACCAGATGTATGTATTAAGAGTATCACTCTGAAAAACCAAACCTGGTTTTTGCCCCCAGTGCAAAGTCATGCGCCGAGGGATCCCTGAATTCCCTGTTGCTTACTGTCTGTGGACATAGATGGGGAGCTGTGGTTTGATGGGGATTTGGCAAGGATCCCACATAAAAATCCTGTGAAATAACAAGGACCCGTTTTTGATTCGTGGATCAGCCTTTCCCTTTCTTCTCGGAGGGTCTCCAACTGACCTGGGGTGCGGGTGGAGTCCCTGGGTTCAGGGGACCCTTCCTAGCCCGGGGGGGGGGGGGGCGGTCCACGGGATCTTTGGAAGGAATCCAAAAGCAAAGGGAGAGGGGATGAAGAATCCGAGTCTGGCAAAGCTCTGCTCATCCGTGGGCAGCTGGCCTCCCGCAGACTTCTTCCCCTCTGGAGGGGGCCCCCAACGTCTGGATCTGTTGATTGCCCATTGACCTGATGCATCGGCTGAGGAGGGGATCAAGCCGGCGATGGCAGGGGAAACCCAAGGTCCAGCCTTGCCCGCTTACCTGTTAGCCGGGTCTGACTCAGAAGGGCAGACCAGCCGCCCGCAGGATCCCAGCAACAGGCAAAAGGGCCAACGGGGCCCCGGAGGGCCTTGTGCCCTTTCTCCCGGCAGCCATGGATCCATTCAGGACAAACCAGGCCGGCCCCGGGCCCCTCTTCCCAATGAACCAGGATGCCAAAAGATTTAAAAGATTTCACTCTGGCCTTTCTCCTTTGAAAGGACCCAAGTGGCTTACATCAGAAAACAGCATTTAAAAGCTAAAAGCAGTGTACTGTACAAATACTGTATTTTGAAAGAAGCAAATATGGTACCACTCTGAAAGATGGCTAAAACAAGCAACATCAAAAACACCATTAAAGGAGTAAAGCATAATTAGGGGGCCAATTAAAAAACGAACAGTGTATTTGTAAGCAATTGCCGATTTGTTGACTATTTGTCCCTTAATATTTGTTGATTCCGGAGACCCCAACAAACATGGAGGGATGAACATTGGCCCGTTTTTATTATTTGTCCCCGCTGGCAAAGAGGGAAGAAGAGGCTGCCGGGCTGGGCTGCCCGGCCTTCTTTCTCTCCCTCTCTGGGCCTGCCGGAGAGAGAGCTCATCCGCCCTCCGATCAGCCCCACAGGCCGGCCGGGCCGGCTCTCCTGCCCGAAGGGGAGCCGTGGCTGCCGATGGCTGGCAGTGGGAAGAGGGCAAGGTAAGGTCGTGGTGGGCAACGGGCAATGGGCCGGGGGTGCGGGTGGTGGTCTCTGCCTTGCCTGAGGAACCGGTCCGTGGTTCGTTCGTCAAATGTGGGGATACCGGCAGCCTGTCTCCATCCCTAATGACAGCCCACCTAAAAGTCACACTCGGACAGTCAGTCAGGAAGGGAAAGGTCAGCCAAGACGGGGCCAGGCGGGTCTCCAGTGGCAGGGAGTTCCAGGGCCTAAAGAGGCAGCCATCGAGAAGGCCCTCCTCTCCCACCTCCCCCACCAAAGTTGCGCCTGGGAGGATGATGGGGCCAAGAGGAAGGCCTCTCTCCTGATGACGGTCTTCACCCGGTCCTGGAGGTCGCTCGGACCCAAGCCCGTTTGGCACCAAATCCGGCGGCTCCCTTTTGGGTCCGCTGAAGTTTCAGGGCTGTTTCCAAAGGGAGGCCCCGCGCAGGGGGCGCGCACGG